ACCCTCTCTGAAAAGCATAGCAGCAGGGGGAATACCAGTAGCTGGGTGTGGGGTGTCACGATAATTCATCAGCAGGTGGTTAAGCGCTTCTTCCTCCGAAGACCTATTATAGTGTGCTATTTTCATGGTTTTTCCAAGCGGCTTCATAAAGGTCTCCACAGGATTATCCGATGGGTGCAATGGAGGGACCTTCTTCAAATGGATATCTCGCTTCTGAGCAAATGCTTCCATAGCGTCCGAGTTAAATGGTGGTCCATTGTCCGAGAATTGATGTTCTGGGTTTCCATACGAATTATATATCTCGGCCATAGCCGGGAGAACATGGGACGCTTTGGTAGAGGCAACCAAGTTTGCTGCTGAAAATCTTGAAGCTAGGTCCTGTACGACAACTATATGCTTTGAGGACGGCATAGGGCCAAATAGATCTACTGCAACCGTCTCCCACCATTTCTTGGTACCTCGTGCACTTTAATTGGTTCGGACGTCTTCTTATCACTGAACATATTGCACTCTTTGCAACTCTCGACGAATTGCTTCACTTTGGGATGCATGTCATGGAAGAAAAAGCGATACCTTAGACGCCTTTCAATCCCACTCTGTCCCAGGTGACTTCCTCTGTGGGCCAGCTGAATTGCTGTATCTTGCAGACTCTCTGGAAGAATAATTCTCTCTCCTTTGAACATAACGCCGTTTCCTGCGATGGTTATTTCTGGGATAAGTTGCTCGAACCTTCGTACTTTAGCAATCCATTTTCGACCATTTTGTATGATCTTTGCAAGCTCAGTTAATGTTTCATCCATCTTCGTGAGCATTGCAATATTACCAATCCCAATGCTATCCATAACTGGCGTGGTGTGTAGCATATATAAGAGATTACTGAGCTCTTCCGCTTCTTCTCGCTCCTCGTTCGTCATCATTTGTAAAGGTTAGGCTTTCCTTGATGTAAAATCAACTTGATTAAGCTTTCCTTCTTGGTACACGACCTCGTACCTGACATCTTGATGCCGTAGCTTGATACGATCTGTGCGGATTGAACCCTTCTGGTTCTTGTTAAAGATAGAACAAAGAGGTTTATGATCCGTTACCGCATAGATCGATTGTGGTGCTCCTACGAGGTAATTGCGAAACCTTCTTAGACAAAATCAAGACTCATGTCTCTAAATCGAGCTGAGGATATCTTGTTTCAGCTTGGCTAGTCGTTCTGGACGCAAATGCGACTAGTTTGGCTTCTCTCACACTGTTTCCTTGGGCAAGCATTGCTGCTAGACCGGTCATGTGAGCATCTCCGAATACATACGTTGGCTTGCTCATGTGGAAGTATCTAAGAAGTACATGTTTCCGGAATGCGTCAATCAGCCTTTGAAAACATATCTGGTGCTCGTTGCTCCAAACAAATCTTGCTCTCCCTTTCGTCAACTCTCGAAGCTTTGCCGTCCTCTGGGCAAAATTTGGAATAAAGTCCGAGTTCGATTGCATCATGCATAGGAAACTGACTAATTCTTCTTTGCTAGTCGGGGCAGTAAGATGTACAAGTGCTTCCACCTTCGAGGGATCCGGTTTAACACCATCTTCACCATAGATCATTCCCTAAAACGAAATTTCTTTCTTTCCAAACTGGCACTTTTTTGCATTCAGTGTCATCCCTGCGTCCGAAATGGCCTGCATACAAAGGTCAACCGATCGATCATGATCTTCAACAGTCCTAGCAGCTACGATGAGGTCGCCATGGATTAGATGGGCGTTGGGAATATGCGCCACTACAGCGAGGAGCGCAGCATTTAATTCTCCTTGCGATGGTTTCAGGCCCATGGTTAAGCGCTTGTAACGATACAATTTATCGTTGGCGTGGAAAACAGTCAAGTATCTCGATTTAGGCTCCAATTCAATCTGCCAGAACGCGGATTTAAAATCCATTTGGGAGAAGACTCGACAGCCAGATAGTTTCGCTTTGATATCTTCATGACGTGGGATAGGGTGATTTGTTGGTGTACTAGTCTTTGTTTACGTTGCGGGCATCCATTGTAACCCGAAGACTACCGTCATCCTTTGTTGCCAAAACAGCATTTGCAACCCATGGGGCAGGTTCATCCCTGTGGTGTTCTTCGATGACGTCTTGCTGGATCATATCTTCAATTGCCTTCTGAGCTCTTTCTTTAAGATGATATGGAAATGATCTTGGTGGCACATAGACTGGTTTAACTTCTTTATCTACATGTAATTTAACTTTGTGATGATGAAGCTTGCCAATACCATTGAAATTTTGCGGATACCTCGCCAATATTTCTTGAAGATTGTCTTTATCTTCAGAATCTATCATAAGGATTGGATGAAATGTGTCTGGGTTGGCGTTAAAATCAATGATACCAAGCTGCAAGGCCATCTTCCCCGCTAATATTGGTTCACACGATCCCGAGATGATACGCCACATGACAGGGACAGATGTTTGGCCAAACGTAACTGCACATCGAGCCTGACCATGCACAGGTATCGGAGTGCTCGTATATGGCTTTATTCTCACTTTTGAGGGAATCATTTTCCCCTGCATGTTCCATTTTTTAGCTTGGACTGTTCCACAGACGCTGACTTGAGCACCTGTATCAATTATCACTGTATCCAGGCAATTGTTTACTACCAACTGCGTTTTAAAATCATTTTTATCTCGCATGCTTGATGACAACCTTGGTTTGACTGATCTTGCTGAAGCCTTGATTCTAAATAAGTTAAAGTGCCCGTAACCCCAAAATTGATTTTCAACTTGTTAAAAGTATGCTACCAGTGGAACAGTTTGCGAAAAAATTTTGCGTTTGGTTGAAAAGCAAACATTTTAGAGCCACTTGAATTATGGATTGCTTGGTCAATGGATGTCGTGTACGGGAGTCTGGGTCTAGCACAATTTCTGACGTCACGCTAGTTACTGAATATCACCAATAAATAAGTAAATACTAACACGAGTTTTGCCACTAAAACTTTGAACTGAAAATCATCATGGTGATATGGTAAATCTTTCGAAGTTATTATCGTTGTATTTCAGGAATATAACAATATACCTTTCCCCTTATAACCAAAATTTTGATCTAGGCAAGTCTAGACAAATATTTCATCACAGCTTGAAAGAGCATCACAAAATTAGTAATATTCCAAAGTTTCGTTGCGAAATGTTGTAAAATGAGGAAAATAGAGCCTTGCGAAATTTGCAATTTTCAGTCATTTTGCATTACAAACGGGAAATTGCAGCCCCAACACCCGAATCGGATGTCAATTTCCCGTTTGTAATACAAAATGACTGAAAAACGGCAAACTTCGAGTAACTTCGCAAGGCTATCTTATCCGAATTTTACAAGATTTTGCAACAAAAATTTGGAATATTACCAATTTTGTGATGCTCTTTCAAGCTGTGATGAAATTTTTGTCTAGATGATCGAAATTTTAATTATAAGGGGAAAGGTCCATTTACAGTATGTTATGTTCAAAGTAGGCCGGGTTACATGATCTTTGATACACTTGCAATTGTTATATTTTACGATCATTTTTAGTGAGCATTTTCACAGGTTTATGAAACTTTGCCACGGTTTTATACTACGCTGATCAATCCACCAAGGATAAACTATGTTGTGTTATGCTTTTAAGAATTTAAGTTGTCTCTGCGGCAATATTTTATTGCCACATAGCGATCATATGACAAGACAATTTACACTAGTAAACTGACTGTACCAGTGTAGGTAGTACCAATGTAGAAAGCCTTCGCACGAAACGTCGAGTTTCTGCTTATTTTTTAGGGTAGTAATATAATCACTCAGCACAGCATTTTTATACTATCTTACAATTTGGTGCGCTATTCGGTCACCACAAAGTTCGGATCACTACTCACTAGGTCCACTAGATGTAAACTGGTAGTATTTTAGTCATTTCACGATCAAAGTATAATTGTGTATAAACGGGAAAGTGTTCTTGTGAAGTGCGCATATATTTCTTAGAGTTAGAGTGGGAAACAAATACTTTGTACTCGTAGATCTCAAGCACATATCAAATGGCAGTATAGACAGTGACATATAATTTACGATTCCAATGCAAATAAAATAGCGAATGCGTTTTAGAACATAAATTTACATACAGTAACAGAACATAAATATATTATGCAACGACTATTATGCAAACAGTAAGCTTGGAAAATCATGATTTTCGACAAAACAAACGCGCTATTATACAGACACGATCGGTGCAAGGCCAATTTTATAGTTCCGTTGCTGTAGTGTTTACTATATTGTTGTAACATGAAGTTTAAAAAAGATTAAAAATAGGTACGCAGTGCGTACATGTTGCATGCCCTCTCGCTTCTGCAAAGGCTTTAGTTGCCTTTCCTTCCCTTCACCCTTTTCCGCCGCGCTCCTTCGCCCAGTGGCTCCGCCCGTGGTCCGAGATCCGCCATGTAAAGTGTAGTGAAATGTATCTCATCGTGATAAATCATAGGACAACTAAAGCACAGAATAGAGAATGGACCAGAAGTGTCACTCTACGAGTGCTGATGTGAAAATACGCCATCATATGACGCCATCCTGGAGTGCACCACAGAAGTTTTTCATGGGGACAAACATAGGTACAAAGTGCCGTGTGCACTCCATTATGGCGTCATAGCACATAAAAAATTTCGGACGTTTTTCCCAAGCCAAACACACATTACACATACGAGTGTCCCTTCTGGTCTAGTATATGACGCCATCCTGGAGTGCACCACAGAAGTTTTTCATGGGGACAAACATAGGTACAAAGTGCCGTGTGCACTCCATTATGGCGTCATAGCACATAAAAAATTTCGGACGTTTTTCCCAAGCCAAACACACATTACACATACGAGTGTCCCTTCTGGTCTAGTATATGACGCCATCCTGGAATGCACCACAGAAGTTTTTCATGGGGACAAACATAGGTACAAAGTGCCGTGTGCACTCCAGGATGGCGTCATAGCACATAAAAAATTTCGGACGTTTTTCCCAAGCCAAACACACATTACACATAGGAGTGTCCCTTCTGGTCTAGTATCTATTCTGTGACTAAAGCCTTCAGGCCGATTTCCATTCAGTGCAAAATATCGCAAGATCAACTTTTTGCGATCACTCTCTCTTTTGAAACACGTTCAGTCAACCTGATCCGTTGCGTTTGATTGCTTGTATTTCAGAAGAAAGTGATCGGAAATGTCAATCGCGCGAGTGGAAATCCACCTTTATGGTGCGCAAGCGCTTATAAATTTTGGTACAACTGGCCTGAAACTTAACATATTGATTCAATAAATTTAACATCAATATATTTATTGAAAAATAGTTATTATGTCAAAATAACAAAACTTTTTCAAACTTTTCGCGACTGTTCATCTGTAGTTGCAAGGGACGGTAATATCAAGTTCAACAGGATTTTCCTACAAATTTAGCTTTATTCTGGCTGACTGAAAGTATAAAAAACCGTGGAAACCGTGAATTACTATAATGATTGAAAATAATTATTAAACTATGATCTCGACTATAATGATTGAAATTATCGAAGTAGAATGCTATTTCGTTGTATTAAATTTCAGTAGACAATTGTTCATGTTAATATTTACAGAATGTGGTGTAGTTTTGAAATTTGAAGTTTTACACACAATATAATCAGTGCTAGCACAATGGCTTCGTTTCAATTTGGGCATATAAAAAATTAAAATTTTGACAGCGTGGCCTTTCACAAACATAAACGCCTGATAATGCCGATAATTGATAAATAAATATCAGTGCCAGCACAACGGCACCAAAATAATAACAAATAACAGAATATAAGCTAAATTAAAAACAACAAAGCTTTACCTACCTCGATCTATTTTT